AGTTATTGTTATCATTACAGTTACTGTTACAGTTATTGTTATCATTACAGTTACTGTTACAGTTATTGTTATCATTACAGTTACTGTTACAGTTATGGTTATCATTACTGTTACAGTCATTGTTATCATTACTGTTACAGTTATTGTTAGTTATCATTATAGTTATTGTTACAGTTATCGCTATAGTAATGTTTACAGTTACTGTTATCATTATAGTTACTGTTACATTTATTGTTATCATTACAGTTACTGTTACAGTTATTGTTATCATTACTGTTACAGTTATTGTTAGTTATCATTATAGTTATTGTTACAGTTATCGCTATAGTAATGTTTACAGTTACTGTTATCATTATAGTTACTGTTACATTTATTGTTATCATTATAGTTATTGTTAGTTATGACTAGCTATTGTAACAGTTACCATTAGTTATTGTTACAGTTATTACAGTTACTGTTACAGTTATGGTTAGTTATCACTATAGTTATTGTTACAGTTATCACTAGTTATTGTTACAGTTACCGTTAGTTATTGTTATCATTACAGTTACTGTTACAGTTATTGTTAGTTATAATTACAGTTGCTGTTACAGTTATTGTTAGTTATCATCATTATTGTTACAGTTATTGTTATCAAACCCTAACCATACAGTAAGTACATGTAATTAATTAATATTACTCAGCAGTTATCTTCAAAGTTATCATTACAGTTATCATTTTAGTTATTGTTACAGTTATTAAAATGATCTTCACAGTTAGCAGTACAGTTATAGTTCCAGTTATCATTATAGCTGTCACAGTTAACATTATAGTTATCGTTACAGTTGTTGTTATAATTATAATTGTCCTATAGCTTTTCCATGTGATTATTATGTAACATATTCATTGCGCAGGTAAAGATTCAGCTGATGTTCCAAACAGAACAAACATGTAATTTAATTTCAATTATTCAGTCATTAAACTTAAGAGTTTTATTGATTTTTTTTTTTTAAAGAATAAGTTCCTAAGAAAAATAAAATAAATAAATATTTTGGAGAGGTGCATCATGGGAAATGTAGTCTTCTCCGATGTAGGCAGCGTGAATCAAAGTAACACACAAATGAACAGTTAAAAACACATTTTAAGGACTTTGTATCCGCTGCCTTGAATACATATTCTCATGTTAATGCCATATTTCATGTTGCATCGCAAATGAAAAACGAAAGTTATTGAGCAGTAAGATTTGTAATGTCTTTTATAA